GCTGGCCTGCGCTGCTCTCTGGCTGTAGAGTCACTGCGTGTCCTTGAAGGTGGCTGTCGATGCCCGGGTTGTCCGAGCTCCGACCTGGGCCCGGTGTGGACTCTAACAAACCCTCAGCTCTTCGTTTGACAAACACCCACAGAGGAGCAGCAATGACCGATAGGGTGCATTTCTTCAGGGCTGAGGTGATTTTAAGTTTCCCACGTGGAAAAGCCCAGAATTTTAGAGGTCACTGAGCCAACTTCCCTTCCACTAAAGGAATCTTTAAAACTCTTCTTCAAACTCCGTAGACTCTGATCCACAGGAAGAAACCCGTTGTAGACCATGGCCTGGCCTACCCACATGTCTACGTACAGGCACTTCCCAGAAACGGAAGTTTTCTTCAGGAATTTACACCCTTGCCACGTGATAAGCAGGTGGTAACCTATTTGGTTATATTTCATTTTAAAAGTGCTGGTTGACATACTATCTACTTTTATGTTCTTTCAAGAATTTTCCTAAGAAAGTTAAAAAAAACCGTGCTGGTTGGGACTTATGAATGGCCTGCGCCTGCAGTGTGAAAAGCCCTTCTCGCTCAGATGTGTACGAATTCCAGGCAGACGGTCCTGGGCTCAACCTGGCTTCTGCTATTCACCAAGCCAGGGGCTGCGGGGAGCCATTTAGCTGCCACGAGCCTCGAGCTTCTTTACATGTGAAGCAGAGAGGGTGCCGGGACCTGCAGTCTCGGGAGGGTAAGTGCTAATACACGCACAGCACGGGACCCAGCATAGGCCGCACGGACGGTAGCTATTGGCCTTTTAATTGGTGCTGGTCATCCACCTCGGAAGACGAATCAAGCCTTCCACGCATGGAGTCCAGTTTAGTGAGCAAGTGTCTGCACAAACAGGCCTCGGGTGAGGAGGACCTTCCCTCCCCAGGTCCTGGTGACCTGTGGCTTCTGGTGACCTCCCTTGTCCCACCAAGGGGGCCTTAAGCTGTGGGCTCAGCTACCCCCCAGGTCTACCCCAGGGGCCCCTGTAATGGGTACCCTGGGCCCTGAGCGCGGCCTCTGCAGCCGCCTGCATCAGACTCACTCCCAGTGCTGGTTGGGTCGATGTGCTCGCTGCCAGAGTCGCCTCCCAGCCTCCCAGCTGCGGGATCCTTGGAGTTCCAGGCAGAAGGCCCAGGAACCTGTATTTTAAGAAAGTCCTTGGGTGGTTCTTAGGCACATTCAGTGACTCCGTTAGGGTCATCTTCAGTTTGGCAAACATGACCAGTGTGACTTCAAGGACTCAGGAGAGAACCTACTCAGGCCTGGAACGCCCTTAAACCAGGCTTGATGGGTGCTGGGCAGTCAGAGACTGTAATGGAAGAGCCGCAAGCTGAGACCACTCACACTGGCAGGTGCCTAGCTTCGACCTTCTTCCTTAGAGGGCAGCAGGGGTAGCTGTGACCAAGAGTAGGAGACAGGGAGGCTTCTCTGAGGCTGAGGCCTGGGGCACTTCATTTCCTGAGTCCAGTCAGTGGGAGGGGCAAGCTGGATCCCACCAGCACAGGAAGTTTGTGGTTCAAAGATAATAGGTACTCAAAACTCGCCACTACATTTGATTGTCACCTCTGCTCTTGCAGTCACTGGCCTCTGTGCCTGGACAGTGGACAGTCCCCACAAGGATGTGCCCCTGCCCTGGAGGCTTTCCTCCTGCTGGTACTGAGAAAGGCCGTGGCGGGAACGTGCAGGAGTCAGCAAATGTTATACACAGCGGGGCTCGACCTGTTCCATTCATTGCTGGGCTCAATGAAATGCTGGGGAAATGCTAAGAATGCAGACTAAGTTTCGTTGGGAAATTTGGTGTGGTGGTTACATGGCTGGATCCCCACATGGCCAACCACGGTTTGAGTCCCAGACCTGGTGACTTGAAAATCACACTGGGGGGACCAGCAGTTAGCGTAATGGCTATGTCTCTGGACTCCCCACGTAGTCGACCATGGTTCGAGTCCCGGACCTGGCCGCTTAAACTCACGCCGGGTGCGTGTGCGTGCGTGCCCAAGATCCCGAGAGGAGAATGGAGGAGAAGGGACTGCGGCGTGGCCATCCCCTCTGGGGGGTGATTTCTCGCTTTCTATCTCTCTGTCTCTCTCTCTTTCTGGTGCATGCGCCCTATAGCGAAAACCTCTCAAAAAAAAAAAAGAAAATCACAATGGGTATGTGTACATGGGTGCATGCCAAAGATCCCATGAGGAGCATGGAGAAGGGATTGCAGCATGGTCACCCACTTTCTCACTGTCTCAATCTGTCTCTGTCTCATACGAGCCCACACACTCTATGACAAAAATCTCTGAGAAAAAAGAAAAATATCAGATCACACCAAGTCATTCCTGTCAGTGCACAGAGGAAGTCGGGACATAAATCCTCGTGTGTCGCTCGTTTCACGTCCATCCTGCTCACAACTGCTCTCAGGTCACGCAAAATGAAGACGTGTGCGGAAACGCGGCCGGGCAGCGGGTGACGAGCGTCTTCTCGGTCTCTTTGTCCGCCATATAAAGGGCGGTGGGGAATAATGCACTGCTGTGAGCTGATGGAAGGCCCCAAAGAACCTGGCCCCAGTCACCTTGCCCGGCCACCCAGCTGGGTTTGATACCCTGTGCATGGGGTCAGCCAAGTGCCTCAGCGTCACTGCAGCGGACCCCTAAATGTCCGAGGTGCAAGGCCCGGGCAGCTGCCATCCCCTGAAGACATGCAGTCGGATCTCTGGGATTCGGTTCTGCTCTTCCTGAAATGATTCGGGTTCCCCTTGGGGATGGGTGCTTCAGCAGTGAGGCGGTGGTGACAGAACGGTGCCTGGGCTGGCTGGATTTCACTTGTCTGCTGTGCCAGGTCCACTCTTAAAAGATCCCTTACTTTTTGAGAAGTGGCTCCAGCCAATTTTGCAAGAAAAACAAGGAACCCCTCACCTAGTCCTCTTTTGCCATTCCAGATGGGAAAGTTCAAGAGTTTGGAGAGGGTGACAGTTTGCCCCAGGTAACACAGCGAGTCAGTGACAGAGCCAGCACCAGAACCCCGAGCACCTGACTTCTAGACGGAAGGGCGTTTGCACCCCCCACTTCAGCCCGTACTCCTGACCAGCTTGTGCCCAGAGCAGAGGGAGTGGCGGGGCTTGGAGAGGGGCCCCTCCAGGCCTCCGAGCAGAGCTTCTCCCCACCTCACCTGCGGACCCACTTTACCTGCTCCTATCACCACCGCATCATACTCAGGCTTCAGGCGTCCCCTGGCTTCCAAGTGAGTTTGTCTCCAAGCAGGACGGCGAGAGGCACCCAGAGCCCTGCTGAGACCTCGGCCACTTGCAGCCATTTCTGCCCTCGGCTGGGCAGGACTAGGCCAGGAATGTGCTTGTGATCAGTTTTCCTTGCCGCTGAGGGCCAGGAGAGAGGCGGGAGAAAGCAGGCAGAGAGGAGGAGCTGCGGCCAGCTGCTCAGTCTTGGCCTCGAGCCAGGGCCGAACAGGACGCCGCGCTCCGGAGTCTGCGCAGGGCAGCACGGGGTGGTTGGTTGCCGATTAACCAGGCGGAAGTCAGAGCCAGGGCCAGGAGCTCAGAGCGGTGTCCCAGCTGCACACTCACTAGGGCTCCCGCCCCAGGCACCATGCTGGCACTGCTGGGCAGTGTTCACAGGGCAGGACCCAGGACTCCGGGAGGGCAGGGTGGGGGTGCTGGGGTCAGAGCAGGCTCCAAGGGGCCTCCTCGCCTCTCGCCGGTGTCACTTCTCACCAAGGAATGCAACGTCTGGAACGTGCCGGGACGGGGATCCTGACAAGGAGAGACACACTCAAGCCAGACCTTGACCCCATGTGCTCCTGGCTCGGGGCTGGGGGTGGGGTCAGACACAGTCCCAGGGAGTGACTGCTCCATGCCACGGCAGGCTCGGGGGGCCCTGGCTGAGGCCTCTGGAGCAGCCATTTAGCATCACCACGGCCAGGGCCTTTGGCAAAGCTGCAGAGGGCCGCACCTGCCTCTCCTGGGTGTGTAAACACCTTCCACGTGACGGGCTGCCACAGTCTTGCACACTCGCCATCTGTAATTCTTGGGGTTCACCTTTTTCTTTCTCTTACGGCTTTTGGCACCTTTCCCATTTTCCGAGAATCCCCCAGGGCTTAAGACCACATCTGCAAATATCTTCGGCTCAAGCGCTTTCCTAAGATCCCTCTGGCCTGTCTTGAATCGGGGGCCCCTTTGTCCTTGCCCACTACTCGGCAGAGTGCCCTTGTCGGAAGAAAGCCCCCAGTTGAGTCTACAGCCCTGACCTCTCCTGGGTCGGAAACCTGCTCTTGGACGTGCCTCTCCAAATCGGGAGAGTAAGGGCTTTCCAAGGGGCGCTTCTACGTCACCTCAGCTGTCCCCACACTCACAGGATGTGTGGGTGCAAAACCCAGATCAGGAGGTTCAACTAGTTATTTATGATATGGAAAAATGCGGGAGGGGGGTTGTTGGTTAAACTAGACACATCACATCACGCAGAGGAGAAGACCTCAGGGAAATTAAGTGGCCAGAGTGGGCACCCTGCCGTGGAGGGCTGGTCAGGAGAGGGAACCCTCTAGGTGGGCTGGTCTAGAGTGAGGACCCTGCCATGGTCGGCTTGTCAGAGTGTGTACCCTGTGGTGGGGAGCTCATCGGGGCAGGAGCGCAGCCCGGGGTGGGGAGCTCATCGGGGCAGGAGCGCAGCCCGGGGTGGTGGGCTCATAGGGGCAAGAGCGCACCCCGGAGAGGTGGGCTCATGGGGGCAGGAGCGCACCCCGGGGTGGTGGGCTCGTCAGGGCAGGAGCGCACCCCGGGGTGGTGGGCTCGTCAGGGCAGGAGCGCACCCCAGGGTGGTGAGCTCATTGGGGACAGGAGCGCGCATCCCGCGGTGGTGAGCTCATCGGGGGCAGGAGCGCACCCGGGGGTGGTGGGCTCATTGGGGGCAGGAGCGTGCACCTGCGGTGATGAGCTCATCGGGGCAGGAGCGCACCTCGGGGTGGTGGGCTCGTGGGCGCAGGTTTGTACAGTGTTCCTTTGCACTTCCCACACTCGGTGTTTCCGACTCCTGTCCCTAAGCCCACAATGCTGAGGAACCCCAATTGTCACCTCCAGCACACTGTGCCTTACGGCCACCTGCTAAGACCTTAGGCATTCCCGGTGGGGAAAGGCCAGACTTCTCTACATGAACTTCAGCTCAGGACAGAAGGCACAGGCGGCCTGGCTCCTGTACATTCACCGAGGCGTGCGTGCCCCTGCTGTGGGGGATGCTTGTTTTCCACGACGTCACTTCTCTCCATCCTGGGACTGGCTTCCGCCCAGGAGCGCGCTCCCAGCTCCAGTGCCCCGGGGCCTCTTGTCTGGTGTCTGTCTGGAATAGAATTGGTCAGCAGGGAGGGCTGTGCCCTCAGGTCGTGGCTCTCAATCCAACATGGAGAGCCTGGGAAGCTCTGAAACGCGGAGAAGCCCGGGCTCCATGTGGCCCCTGGTCTGATCTCTGGGTGGGGCACAGCATGGCCGCAGCCCCAGACAGGCACGGGACGGGCGTGAAGAAATGGCAGCGTAACATTTATTGAGCACCAACTTGACTTCCTCACAACCACCCGGAGAGGTGGGGGGCACCTCTTTAAATTTGGGGAAATGGGTTCTGAGTTCAAGAAACCTGCCCATGCCTCAGACAGGAAGTGGCAGGGCTGGGACTGGAACCCAGCTGAGGCAGCGCTTCTGTCTAGGGAGGACACAGCTTCCCCGGCAAGCTTCCTCCACCCAGAGGGCAGAAGAGGGTGTCTTCAGGCAGCCTTGGCTCCGGGACTTCCTCCCTGTCTGTCAGGGACAGAGGGAGAGGCAGCTCTGAAAGAGGAGCCACTGCCCTCTCCAACCTCTGATTTTATTTTATTTTACTTTTCAAAATTTTTGTATTTTTTTTTGGTTTTTGTTTTTCGCCATTGGGTGTGTGGGCCTGCTGGAGAGAGACAGAAAGCAAGAAATCACTCCCCAGGGGGATGGCCACAATCCTTCTCCTCCATTCTCCTGGGATCTTGGGCACGCACACACGTCTGCCATAATTTTTAAGCCGCTGGGCCTGGGACTCAAACTGTAGTCGGCCATGTGGGAGTCCAGCACCTTAATCACACCACTACAGGCCCCACCGCTGATCTTTTAAGGAGACAAACATAACCCACGGCCTCCCTCTTCCTCCAGAGGTCAGGGTTGGGGCTTGCTCTTTTCTCTTCATGGAGTGTACTCAGGTAGAGTCTAAGAAACCCCATCTTCGGGATGGCCGCTGTGGACAGGGAGGCTCTTGCTGTGGGAGCACATGCGAGTATGAGCGGGTGGGAGAGCGGAGTGGACCCCGGCCTAGAGCAGGGGGATGTGCGAGGCCTCCCAGAGGCGCCGGGCCAGCTGGCCAGCCTGCTGCACCAGCACGTCTGTGGGGATGACCGACAGGTGCAGGGCCAGCAGCTCGTAGCACCGGACGGCCTCGGCCGGGTGGCCCTTGCTGTAGTAGCGCAGGAGCTTCCTGGGGGAGGAAACGCAAGGACCGGGTCAGGGCGAGGCCACCGCACCCTCCCATCCTCCTGGTCACCTCCTGAGTCCCCACCTCCTGGGCTGACGCCTTCTGCTCCAAGGCTCAGCCCCTGACCACGGTCCCTCCCTCTGGGCTGTCACCCACACCTGGGGCCAAAGAGAACAGCGGTCTCTGAGCCAAGAGGTGCCAGCAGGGCAGTCCTAGGGCCCAAGCACAAGGGTCGCCTCACACTGCCCAGACTGTGCCACAGTAAGATGGGCGGGACCCCAAAGTGCTCTTCTTGAGTGCTGCCCCCCCGCCCCGGAAGAGCTCCTGCCATGGGCCCTGGCTTCTCAGGCCAGGCCTTCCTGAGCTGCCCCCCCCCAGGGCTGACGTCCGCCCCCCAACACCAGGGGGCACTGCTGTTCCCGACAGCCTTCCAGTCAGCGTCACCTGTAGTAGTCTCCTCCCAGCATGCCGATGGGGACCGCGTCGTCAGAAAGGACGGGCACCTCAATGATCTGCAGTTTGTACCCCTAAGGAAGGAGGAGGAGGGTCTTGAGAACAGGGAGGAGAGGGGTGTGCTGGGAGGAACACAGGCTAGAGGGAGATACCCCAGGTGGAGGCCGGCCCAGGATTGCTGTGTACTCGGTGTGTGGAAAAAGGCATGGGCCTCTTTGTCCCTCCTGGGAAACGGAATGAGAAGAGCCACCTTAGAGCTGCAGTGGTGACACGCACAGCCGGCCCCTGAACAACCTGAGTTTGGGTGGTGTGGGCCCACCGTCACAGGGACCTTTCTCAATTCGCATTTTGGAAAACACAGTGCGGTGGGGCAGAGGTATCTTCTCTTGCTCACAGTCTTCTTCTCCCTAGCTTACTTTACTGTAAGAATACCGTGCAGGACACACAGCACACAGAATACGGGTCACCATCTGTGAGCAGAGAGGGCGGGCCAGGAGCTGGGGAGGGGACAGGAGTACAGGGACCCAGAGAGAGGGGCTGTGAGGGCAGCAGACATGACACTTAGAGGGCTGGAACAATGGCTGAAGGTGACATGGGAGAAAAGAACGGGAGACAGAGAGAAAGCCTAAGACGGGTGGAGCTGCCACGAGTTCCCATGACCTGAGCTTCTCCTGCAGGGAGGTGCGGTCCAGAGAAGCAGCACAGGGCCGAGCGCCCGGAGCCTGAGCCCCACTTCCGTACTCCTCGGGCAGGTTGGCTAATCGTTTTGAACCTCGATTTATCCGCCCATACAATGGGGATGACCACGTGCCATGCTTCATTCTGGACGCTGATGAGGTTGACATGCCGATGACAAAGCGCATGACCCCAGCGGCCTTCTCAAAGTGGAGCGTGTGTCCGTCGGGTTCCACAAGCACCCGGGCACTGCCTGAACCATAGCGCGAGCTTGTCAGCCAGCCAGGAGGGGGGGGATCGGAAAGCCGGTGTGAAAATGGGACCCTGAGTTCTGGGCACCAGCCTGCTATGCTCATCTGTCATCCGACCGGAGAAGGGAGTGCGGAGGAGCAGACAGACCGAGCATAGTGCAGAAGGAAGAGATCTGAGAGTTACAGGAGCGGAAAGCCTTTCCGAACCATCCTGCCCAGGGAGCTGGCCGCACCCACCATGTCGTTCTCGAACCACAGGAAGTAGGAGCAGTAGAAGTCGCCCTCCTGGAACAGCAGCGTGGTGTAGCCCTTCTGTAGGTACCTGCGTGCCAGCCGGATCAGAGACCAGACCTGGGGTGGGAGGAGAGTGCTGTCACTCCACCGTAGCCCTGCTCACCTGTGTGAGGGACAAGCACCAGGCCCCGGGGCTCCCCTTAGTGCTCGGGGCCCTCGGCTCAGAGCAGGAGCTCAGTAAATCATTACCGGATGGGAGGGTGGACGGACTGCTCCCCCAGTCACTGTGTGAGGAAACCACATACGAGTACTTTACAGAGGTCATAAATCAGGAAACTGATCATTCAGGCCAGGAAATAGCCAGGCAGGGACATTGTTAAATAATAGGAGAGACTCGAGTGTGGCACCTGGACGGCCTTCCTCTCCCTAGGGCCACAGTCCCCTTCAGGGCTGGGTAAGGTCTGAGCAACCTACAGAGCAGTCTGAGCCAGCCCGTCCTGTGCTCCAGCACGAAGTCCAAACCAGAGCTCACCAAGGTGTCAGCGAGAAACGGGACTGAGGGACTGAGAGACTGCGTGCCTTAGGTCCCCTCAGCAATGCTGTCCTGCCCAATGGAGGGACTGTCACCTGTGCTGCCTGCCCTCTGCCCAAGCCCAGCTCTCTCCTTCTCGGGGAGGGGAAAGACCCGGTAGGTGCTCTCGACGAAGGCCTCGGCGGAAGGGATTTGTGAGTCACGCCAGCCCTGGTCCCAGTGTACTACCTAATTAAATCTGCAAACAGACACGTGGGCTGGCTCTACCTTTAGGGAAGCAATGTGACAACATGCATCAGTAGCCTTAAAAACATTCCTCCCATCTGACTGAGCAATTCCATACCGGGAAATCGTACCGAGGAGATAATCGGAGCCGAGGACACAGATGTACACCAAGGTGTGCACCGCGGAATTATAACCGCGAGAGCCTGCAGACGGCCCGCACGTTCAAACACGGGGAGTGATAAAGTGAATTATGCCACGCTCGCATGACGACCTTCCGGAGCCGCTCCGAGTCGTGTTTACAGAGAGCAGTGGCACAGGGCGGTGCATCTGACAGAACGTGCAGTGAGAACGTGGAGCACACAGCTGCCCATCCAGAGTGATCTCCACGGCGACCGACCGCACAGAGCGACGCCGGAAAGAAGCTTCCCGACAGCCCAGCCGTCCCCGGACAGGGATGGCGTGAGGGTGGGGACTCCGGTCCCAGGGAACGCCCGGTGAGCCGTCCATCCCTGAGCCCCGTGCTGGGCTACGTACCGCACACGCAGCCGCTCGCATGAGTTTTACTGTATTCGAGGGTGTGAATAGTGTCATCTTTTACAGATGAGGAACTGCCGTACACCAAATGGTGCCCCAGGCCGCACAGCCAGTGAGAGGCACAACTGGCAGAACTGGGCCTGCACCCGGGCCTTCAGTCCCCACCTCATTTAACTATGATATACTTTCTGTGGACAAAAAAATTAAAGTCTGTCTGTCTACCTATCTCCTTCTATTGCTCCTGTCTCTTTAGAAACTGGTTACCTATCAGTCTCTTTTCAGAGAATGGCGTCTATCGGGCTATCAGAAAAGTCATGACGCATTTTCACATGAAAAAACGTATCAGAGAAAAAAAATGTCATGAGTTTTTTAATAACCCAATATCTATTATCTATCATCTATCTATCTCTGCCGTTTTAGAAAACGGCTACCCACCCATCAACCCATCTAGCCACCTCTCTCTTTAAAAAGTGTCAGAGGTTCCCTTCTCTCCACAAAAAAAACCAAACCAGCTTGCCACGAAGGAGAGTCAGTAAATTAGCACAGGGACTCCTGCAGAATGTTCTCTTAGTAGGAATCATCTGTTTTTATGTTCTGATGCTCAAACTGATTTACTGGGCAATAAGTTTTCTATTTTATTAGTTAATTCGACGAATACCGTGTGGAGCACTTCTGTATGCCAGGCACTGAGCTGGCTGTCGGGAACACCTTGCCAACCCAGGTGCCCTGGGCAGAACACCCCAGGAGGTGCTGTCCAACACGGACTGGGCCCACCTGCCGGGACCAGGCATAGGTGAGGACAACAGGTGCTGGGGTTAAGCAGCTGCTGTGCAAGTGGGACCGAGGGGTTCTTTCATCAGGGTGGGGTTCAGGCCTCAGCACATCCCACCCAGGGGTGGCCGGGTGGTTACCTTGGTTTTGACAAAAGCAGCCAGGGGCCCCTTGCCCAACTCTGATGAAGTCTTCTCACTGCTGCTGAGGGAAGGCGCAACCATCTGCCCCGTGGTGCGGTCCACGTAGATGAAATGCACCAGGCCTGGGAAGTCTTCCAGGTAGGTGAAGGTCGGAGTTAAGGCGCTGAAAAGCCAGGGCCCAGGGAGGGTGCTTCTCTGTCCTCTTCTTGGCATCCAACTCTCCTGAGCAGGGGGTCAAAGGCCAGGTGGCCCCTGATGGCAGGCTTCATTTCAGCCAGGCCCCCTCTGAGTCCTGATTCCCCAGATCGGCCTCCACTTCCCAGCTCCCCAGCCTTGAGAAGTGCTAAGAGCCCTGACACACGCACATTTGACACGGGCGCTTCTGGGCCCCACGGGGACATAGGGTGCTCCGAGTTCATCACTTTCACGGTGATGAGGTGAGGCCGTACCTACCATGAGGCTGGCATGGGAGTAGAGCATGCAGCTGACCAGTGGGCCCAGCTCACCGCCCACCTCACTGTGACCCTGTTCATCCCCACGTGCCATCTCGAGAGGCTGGAAGGTGTCCCTCAGGGTGATGAGGGGGAACAGACGCCATGGAACGGCGATGGCTGGTGGCCAATGAGGCCCTCTGGCATCGTTTCCAGTCTCAGGGGACTAGGTCTGACAATTCCGAGATTTTAATATCAGAAAAGCTGCTTCATACAGCGTTCCATGGAAAATCAGTACTCAATAACAGCCAGTGTTCCATAATGAAAGGGTCATCTAAGGCTTGCAAATGGAGTTTCTAACAGAACACTGACTACAGGCCTTTGCGGAGTCCACGTGCCTCTGTGTACTGTGGGGACCTAAGAAAGGACATGCTCCCCCCCGCCCCCGAGCTAGCCAGAACAAGGAGCCCTGGCCCGCCCCGGCCCCCGCGGAGTATCTGTGGTCACTGGCAGCCGGGGAACACGGGACAAAGGGCCTGAAGGCTCTCGTGAACCAGCTATGTGAGGGCAGGACGTCGGAGCCCTCGCCTCGGTGCCCTCCTGTCACCTAGGCACGTGGGATACGCTCTTCTGTTAATTTTCAGAGGAAAGGGGCTCGGTGACAGCAGATGGCCTCCCTCCCCAGAGCCCGTGGTGCGTCCCCTGAGGGAGGAGACACGAGGGCTGCGGTCAGGATATGACACCATGGTGACGTTCCGCCTGCTCTTCACCAACAGGAAGTCCTTCCAGTCCGCGAGCTTCTCCCTGCGGGGAAGAGCAGGGAAGCACGGGCTGCAGTCAGGTGGCCCTGGGCACCCAGCTGCTCAGGGCCCACCCACACTTACTGCAGGAGCGTCTGGACTTGGGTCTGCAGGTGCTGGGGCAGGTGTGGGCAAGTCCCGCCTGGCACTGTGGCCAGGAAGCTGAGCCGGTAGAGGACGCAGAGCTGCCGCTTCATCTTCCCACATGCCTGGAGCAGCCTGGGTAGGGGGAGGTCAGAGCATCATAGCAGGAGGAGACAGAGGAGGGCGTCTCCCTTCCAAGGTCATATAGCCACTGAGTGAGTTAGAAAAC